TTGTTGGTGACAAGGAAACTGTGGTACGAATCTAAGCAAAAAATATCTCCATATGCCAGCTATACTTTTCCAAGATGTCCCATGGGCTACTCAAACTGACACAGCCTTATTTATGTATTTAGGTTGGAAGTGGGCAAAAGTGTATCTTGTCTATATTTCTATGTTGGGATGACACCATCATCCACCCAGCCAGCCAGTTAACCTTCCCACCTACCCTCTTACATCCGATTAGACCCTGTGTCCTCTAGTTCTCAGTCTTAAGACCAGCACCCGGCTGGCTACATCACAATTGCAAGGAGTGATATTTTAGAAGATTCCAAATTCCTGGACTCCATCCCCAGAGGTTCATCCCCTAGTTTTCTAGGAGGGGCCTAGAACCTGCATGTTTTAGATGTTCATCGCCATTACTGCTACTTTAGTTCAGGTGTTCTTGGTCAGCTTTTTCCTAAAACGTTTTCAGTTTTGTTTGCCTTTGATTGACTCTAAATTGCTGCCAAAATGATCTGTTTTATTATTCCAGTATCATCTTCCAACTCTCTGATATTAATAATCTTTTTAAGTTTTTCTTCCCTTGCAGTATCTGTTCCCCTCAAGTTTCCTTTTTCTTTCTCCTGTTGGTTTTGTGCTCTTTCATAATAAGAGGCTTTCCTAGGATGTCTAGTGGTCCTTATCTGCTCATATGTAAGTGGGGGGATATTTAAAAGTTGATTGGAAGATCTTGAGCCCATAGGACGTTTGTTGAAAATCAAGTGGGAGAGGAGGGGTATGGAGGCTGGGGTATGTCTCAGAATTTAGTACAATTTTCATTTAATTCTCTTATTTTAGGTGCCTGGTGTCTTCCATTACAGAGACCCCGTTTTACTACTGAACAATAAAAAAAAGCCTTCAGGTCCGCATCCCGCAGGGTCTCCACTCTCGGCTTTGGAGCCCCCCTCCCTCTTTCTCTGTAGAAGGGAGCTGCTTCTTTTCTTCTCCCTTCTTTCTTGGCTATTAAACTTTATGCTCCTTAAAACAAAACAAAAACAAAAACAAAAAACAAAAAAGCCTTCAGAATAAGGCTGGGGGGGCGGGTGGCATAAAGGATGTAACTCTGCTAAATGAACTTCCAGTCCTTTTAGTTACCCTCTTCACTTCTACTTCCTGAAGACAGTTTCTGAGCTTTTTAGGGGTTTCTGTGATACAAATAGAATTGCTTGTTGGTTTTGCTCACTGAGGGTTTACAATTCAGCTTTTTTCGAGTCAACTGAGCCCTTTGCTGTTGATTCCAGAATTTTATTTCCATTATTCCTTTTCCTTAACCCTCAAGAGTTTATGACTTTAAAAATCCTGTTACTGTCATTTTCAGGGACTCTTAGGGAGCAGATGTACAACACTATGTTTAAGACAGCATTTTTACCTGATAATCCAGGGTTATCATTCTAAAACATATACCAGATCAGTCATAGCATTCTTCTGCTATGAGAATAAGAAGCTTCAATGATCCCTTGTTGCCTGCATAACATTCGGACTGTTCAGCAAGGTAAACAAGAGTTTATTTTCTTTCTAACTCGATCTCTCACAGCAGGCCACAGCTCCCCCACCCATCTTCCACATTCCCCATACCAAATACTGTAAACTCTAGTCATAATGAGAGGCTAGTAAGAGTTATGAGCATACAAAAGTCCTTATCATGTTTCCACACCTGTGTTTTGGCTGGGCTCAGGCTGAAATACCCTTCTTTTTCCATGCCTGCTTGATGAAAATGTAGCTTAAACATCACTTCTTCAGCGATGCCTTTCTTCAAGCCCTGAAGAATAATTTATCCAGACTCCTCCAAACTCCATCCCATGAACCCACCATACTCTTGGGAGGGGTCATTTGTCACGGGACCTACAAATTCTGGGTTTGCCAAGAACGTAAGGTCCTAACTGCTCTTTACCTAGGTCATTTTTCAGGGTGGTTTGGGATGATCCGTTTCATAGCTCAAGTATTCTTCCCAAAGAGTAGGCTTGCTTCCACTTAACTACAAAAGTAGTGAATCCCCCAAACTCAGTGTTCCTCTCCTATAATGTAACCCACTGACTGCATGTGCAGACATCCATGGAGGCCCATCTTCACCATCCCGGTGGGACTTGGGGGACATGGAAAACTGGCGTAAACATAAGTTCTGACTTCTGCTTTTGCCATAAATTACAAAGTTCTTTGTCACTGACCCAGGAATCTAAGTTTACTGCCATAAAACAGATAACAGGCTATCTTATTAACTTTGAAATAGGTTTCAATTCCAGACCCTTCCCAGACAGCGACATATATTTCTTACAGCATCAGTTGTTATTGTTGCTGCATTATTTCCAAATCTGACCTCCTATACTAAATAGCACCCTTATAGCAGGGATTCATGTCTTATGTGCTTGTTTCCCCAACTATTTTTTTTTTTTAAACTCTGCTCCATCCACTTACATTGTTCCAGTTGCAGGGAAATATCAAATGCCTACCCTGTACCCTGCTGATACTTTGTACCTTGACTGGCACTACTCATTTTAGGGCTCATCTCTCAGTTGTCAATGTCATTGTTTCCTTTAAAAAACGTTCAAAAATAATTTGGAAAATCGTTGACCCTACTTGAAAACAAGGTTAGGTCCTCCTGTTATGTGCTCTTGTAGCACATATCACAGTTGGGATAATGAGGCATTGTGTGATTTACTCTAACAGTGTTCAGCTGCTCAGGAGAAGGCAGAGAGCCAATTGGTGGGTTTTTCAGGCTTGGTGTTTTGACAAGTATTAGTCTGTTCTCACATTGCTTCAAGTAAATATCTGAGACTGGCTAATTTATAAAGAAAAAAGGTTTAATTGACTCAGTTCCACATGGCTGGGGAGCCCTCAGGAAACTTAAAATCATGGTGGAAGGCACCTCTTCACAGAGCACGAGGAAAGAACAGCTAACTATGAAAGTAGAATGGAAGGCCAGGAGTGGTGGCTCAAGCCTGTAATCCCAGCGCTTTGGGAGGCCGAGGTGGGCGGATCATGAGGTCAAGAGATCAAGACCATCCTGGCCAAAACGGTGAAACCGTCCCTATGTAAAATATAAAAATTAACTGGGCATGGTGGCACATGCCTGTAGTCCCAGCTACTCGGGAAGCTGAGGCAGGAGAATCACTTGAACCCAGGAGGCGGAGGTTGCAGTGAGCCGAGACTGTGCCACTGCACTCCAGCCTGGCGACGTAGTGAGACTCCACCTCAAAAAAACAAAACAAAACAAAAACCCTCATTCTTTGCTTTAACAATAACAAGCGTGGTAAGGGTGGTGTCGGTCCATAAGTTAGATAGGCAGTTGCTAGGCAGATGTCCTTGCAGAAGTATGTGTGTATATGTGTGTTGTGTTTAAGATTGTGGTGGCCTTTGTGCAGGTTGTAAATTTTTTGATAGTTCTTGTTATCAACCATATGTATATGAGAACCCTTCCCCTTCATGGCCTTTCCTGGCTCTGTTTATACAAGTGACTCCATTTTCAATTTGACAACTTCCACATTTCCTCTTTTGATCAAGGTCCTTCTCAAAAGCATCACTGATCAATCATCCTGTATGTAGGTTTTGATGTCTCTTGGTGCTAGTCTGCCCCCATGTTGAAGGGAGTCACTGGTAACTAGGAATTAGCATCAAAATCCTTTAGCCACATTTGAGCAACAAAAGAGGTTTGGAGGGAGTGGATCTCAGGCTAAGTCTACCTGGAGTCCACTGTTAAGTTCAATTTTGTCTCTTCCACAGGCACTGGCTATCATCTCAAAGTGCTGGGAGAGCATTTTTCTGTTAGGAGTTGCATTTCTATGCAAATTTGACAAGAAACAGGTATAAAGTTCTTTAAAAAAATACAAAGTAACTATCTCAGCATAATAGTTTTGAGCCATGAACCTAGGCTTAAAGGCAACCAACTGAATAAATCAAATGATCATGAGGAATTAGGTGAGACCTGTTATACCATGTGGCCTATTTTCTTATTTTGTGTAAATTCTCCAAAGGAATGTATCCAGGTACAGCATGTAGTATGAACAAAAGCACAGACATCTCTTTGTTTAGCTGGTACACAGCAATCCTATTATTTAGCATTCCATGACTGGCTTGAATTAAAGCAGAGAGAGCTAACTCTGTTTTAAAAAAGACCGTTAGTACAATTTGAACAAAAAGTTTACTGAGGATGTTGCCAGTATTACCCCCTGGGTGGACTAAAGGATTTGGTCACTCACACTATCTACTGATTGTGAAATTTCAATTACACCATTATTCTGCCAAATGAAAGAGGCAGGCATAAACAAGGAAGAATAAAGAGGGGCAAAAGTGTCATTAGGATGGGGAGTTATGTTCCATCATCTTGGAAAAAGCTGCCCACAGTATGAAGATGTTAACTTTTCATTCCGGTTTACAGGTTATAGCACTGAGCAGTTTTGTGAACCTTTGGGCATGAGATTTCTCCCTTAAAATTCAGTTAGTTTGAGCTTGGGCTTTAAGAACATAGCAAGTCTCATTTTTAGTAATTCTATGGAAGAATGTTGGATTGGAGGAACCTAGAAGAATTAAAGATCCAGTCCAGCGACCAAGGTTTACCTAGTTGCAGAGAAATTTTCTTAACACCGGCAGGTGTCCTACTAGTAATCTTTCCTGTCTGTGACCAGTTTATCCTTAACATGGGAGACTTTTTCTTTGGATACCTTCAATATTAAGTATGTAGTATTTTCAGAGTGGTGCCTTTCATTTAGTTAATATGCATTTATGTTCCCTCTGTCATTTGATGGCTTGATTGCTCATTTCTTTTAAGCACTGAATAATATTCTATTGTCTGAATGTACTACAGTTTATCTATTCATGTACCTACCCACCCCAACACTTTGAATCTAATCCTGCTCTTCCATGACACTCCCTCTTTCCCCATAGTGCTTCCAAGGAACTTGCCACGATGTAGTGCTTACTTAGTATTGCATTTCTAATTACTTTATTTGTCCCTCATAGTCAACCAGACGTTTTGCCTGTTTCATAAGAGATGGCCTATTTATTGAAATGCCTGGATCAGAGAAGTAAGATATGACTAGGTGGTGCCAAGAATGGAGCCTAGAAGTTGTCTTCATGCTGTTTACCATAATGCACCAACTAAAGTCACCATTTAAAAAAAAAAAAAAAGCACACACATATTTAAACATACTTATTACACATATTTATCAACAGGGCATCACAAATAAGTCACAAAAAGTAGGCTTAGTTTAGTTCACAATATAAATCCCGTGAAAACACATTTTTCATCTCTGCAGTTTCTAATACTCTACGTATATAAATTTAAAGCAGTTAAACAACATTTGAGATTATATTGGTTAAAAAAAAAAAATGTAATTGAATTCAGACTTCAGAAAATTGTGAAGTAAAAGGCCATGATGGAGAAATATTAAGAAATCTGTAGAATTACCAAACTGTCACAGTATTATTTTTCCTTTACAAAAGCATCTCAGTAAAACAAAAACTACAGAAAATGCAAAGTAAAATCAGAGATTTTGGTTTAGTACTTTCCCTGAGTCTCTTGTGTTTTAAAAATCAAAGTAAGGCCAGTTCAAAATTGACCCACAGGTCTTGCCTCCTCCATGCTGCCATGGGGAATACATTTAAGACAAGAGGCTGCACATGTTGAGGTGGTCCCAGGGCTTTATTCAAATGCCAATTTGCCCGTGTCACTGCCACAGGGTTATCTGACCCACTGCTGCATGTAGGCTTAAAGAGTTGTCAAAATGTTATCTTGGCCTGCTATAATATAATATGTGAGACTATATACCAAAGGAAGACAAACAGTTTCAGTTATTAATAAATATTAAATTTCTAAATGGATCTGGACACTATATACATCAAATTATGGTAACATAACAGAAACAAACACTTTTATGTTTAAAAATTCTTACATAAACAAAGGTGTGGGGTCATCTTAAACTTCTAAATCTCAGATGTTACAAGAAAAAACTTCAAAAAAGAAATCAAACTCATTAGATCTTAATAAAGTAGAAAAAAGTGATTATAAGATGATACTAATTCCCCAAAGTGGTTGTCTCTTTGATCCTTAAACAAAACTGGCCCCTATTGTGTCTGTACTTGATCACTTAATTGCAATAATGTTTATGTGTACATGTATATGTACATCTACATGTATATATGCTTGCAAGTGATCAAGCACTTCATTAAAAAAGCATATGATAATTAAGGATAAAGGGATTGTTTGAATCTAAAAATCTAGTTTTTATTTCAAATGTATCAGGTTACTTGCTGAGCTTATAGTATCAGGGCACTATGGATCACATTTTCTAGTCAAATGTAAGAAAAACTTTTTCACAGATTTTTACAACCCTTTTTAGGACATCTCAAAGAGAGATGGCAAAGATCTGCCAATTATGTCTCCTTCCATCATAATGAAATCTTAATTGTAAACTAATTTCAAAAAGTTAATAATCATTAGCTTTTCGAAAGCTAACAGTCATAAACTGTCTTAAAATTAGAGGTGAAATGATGGCTCAAATCACAAAAGTATGACACTTATTCATATTCTTATTAATTATTTAATCTAATCTAAGTATCCCATTGCACATGTGGGGTAACTGAGGCACCACAGATTATATTTTGTTTGTTTGTTGGTTTTTGAAGATTTGTCTACAGTTAGACAGGGAAGCCAAGGTCATAACTACAGCCAGAACTGTAGAGGCTAGACACCTATGAGGTATAATGTATTCTATTCAAACTTTGTGTGAAATGTTATATTTAACTCACCTGTCTTGTTGGCATCACCTCTCCTTAACTCTAACTTCTTGCAGACCCTTTAAAGCATGGACTTGGCAAATGTCAGTGACCACCTGCCTTCTCTGACCAGGTTAAAAAGGCTAGCCGATGCTTGTGTAAAAAAAAGAACACCACATGTTGTTGTATTATATGCAATTAGAGATGTTCAGTTATCGCACTTTGGTATCCTTTTCAGAAAAAAAAAACAAAAAAACTCCAAACTTATAAAGGTAAACATAAGCATGGCATTTTACATTGTACCAACTGAGTAACAGTAAATAGATGAGGTGTGACCACTATAACTTCTTGACCAACTTTCTATCTTGAAACTACACACATCCAACCCTACCAGCTACCATTCCAATTCTACAGGATATTTTCCAGTGAGACAAGCTGTACAATGACCACTCTTTTCAAAACATTCCAGGCCATTTCCATTTTCTTGGATCATAATATCATGCTTTTTCTCTTTCTGTTTTTTAAACTTTATCCCTTCTTGTACAGATGAAACCAGTCCTTCTACTGACAGATACACAACACTGTTTGCTCCTAAAGGGAGAAAGAAGGAAAAGTAAAAATGTAATGAGAATTCCTTTAGAAAGGAAGAAATGCTTCAACAGAGAATAGTTACACACAGAATAATTTAACCTAGGATAAAAATTTCTCCTTTAGCCTTTCTTTAAAAAAAAGGAAAAAATAAGTCAATAAAACTCAGTTCCTTTATTTTTAAAATTTTAAACTGGAATCTAGGGGATAACATAATTAAAACAGCAGAGGAGGCTTCAAGTCTAGAATGGAATTAGAGGGCTTTGGGAGTAATTTTCTTAATTGAGAAAGTGGAATTTAAAGTCAGGAAGATCTAGGCTCAAATTTAAGCTCAAGTTCACTCAGTTTTCTGAAGTCTATTCTTTCATCTATATAAGATGGTGGAAACACTGCCTAAATGTAGAGTTTTTATGATGTTATGATAATACAAATAATATAGGCAGTATAGTTTCTGGCAAAGTGTGAGTGCTCATAACATGTATGATACCCATCAGGGTGATATTTAAAAATATTTAACCAGTGAGGCACGTGCATGACAGGTTAAAAGAAACACCAGCCACAAACAAGTCATTGTGCCTTGCCTTGTGTAGAGGTAGCAAGGCACAATGACTAAATATCATGTGTTATTTCCACAGTTTATACATCACCTGATTTTGAAAGGAAGATGTCTTACCCAGGAAAACTTAGATCTCGAAGTCTCCTTATCTCATTACTGAATATGAACCTACACAAACTTTTTACTTTGTGATTTGTATCCATATCCAAATTACTCTGTTAGAATCTGATTATTTTTGTTTTTCTTGGGATCTGACTTTTGGGAAGTTTTAAGTGATATGCTTGCACTTCCCTCCACCTGGAAACCACCTCTCCCTTCTCTGATCTCACCTTGGCTTAGCTCTCCAACACAAGACTCTATGGCGTCTGCCCCATGCCCACTACTCTCACTGTTGAGAATAGTATTCAATATCTGCTTAACTTTATAAAACTTTTAACAAACACTGAATACTCCTTTTTACTAAAGGTGTAAAGACTGTCAAGCTTTGGGTTTTCTCTGTTAATAATCAACGTTTATAGAAATTTTAATACTTACCTAGATATTCTGCAAGGTGATCAAATTCTGGTTTATTGGCAATGAGCTCTTCTTTTGTAGGAATGTTTATTCCCATGAAGCATGGATATTTAATTGGTGGTGAAGCTACTCGAATGTGTACCTTGGAAAGAAATCATTGTACACAAGGTTTGTAACACTATGCAAAATTCTCTTTCATTGTGCAAATACAATATAAAATTGTTTTGCAGAATATTCAGTAACAACATACGGGTAATAAACTATTCTTTCTACAAAGCTGCTTCTTGTTTTTTTTCTGTCACCTAATCATGAGGAATTTTCTTTCTCTAGATATCCTACTTCTCATTTGATGTCTTTACATTCCTAGAGCCACTTAGATTTTCTCTTGTAATACCGGGTACTTCTGCTTATCTCTTATCTTACCATTTTAAAAAGAAAAATACAATTTACCAGGTTATAACAAAACCTTACTACTACAACAGAGTTGTTTTTGTCTGTTATTATTATTATTTTTGCCTTACATCAGGTACATTTAAATGGCTATACTCAGTGTCCACATTTCCTTTTTAAACTTTATTAGAATAGATTTTCCCATTTTTGCTATGTAGTCTTCTTATTTAATGGCTGCATCATATTTAATCACTGATATATCAATTTACTAAATTATATTCTCCAACCGGGAGATATTTAAGCCATTTCCAGGTTCTTTGACTTTATTCTTTTTCACTGTTGCAATAAATGATGCAATTATGTTAAACTCTTATATCTATTATATAATTTCCACAGAATTCCAGAGTGAGATGATCATAATCCTAAACACAAGTATAAAAAAGGCTGGAAAATCATAATCCCAATTATCTTGGAAACTTTCTAAATAAACTGGCATACTGCTTTTCATCCCACTTTTTTCTACAGTGAGATTTTATTTTTGATTTTTCAGAGATGGGGTCTTACTATACGTTGCCCAGGCTGAGACTTTATTTTTAAATTTACTCAACTATTAGTTGTAAATGGCATCTCACTTCTGTAGTATGAGCTATGAAATAGAATAAGCTTTGAAATCTTAAAATAACTTAGTATATCTATATAAAAACATGTTGTACACAATGAATATATACATTTGTCAATTTAAAAAATTAAAATTAAAAAAAAAATTTTTTTTTCAAGACATAAAGTGAGGCCAGGTGTGGTGGCTCACACCTGTAATCCAAGCACCTTGGGAGGCTGAGACAGGCGGATGGCCTGAGCTTAGGAGTTTGAGATCAGCATGGGCAACATGGCGAAACCCTGCCTCTACTGAAAATACAAAAAATTAGCCGGGCATGGTGGTGTGTGCCTATGGTCCCAGCTATTTGGGAGGCTGAAATGGGAGGATCGCTTGAGCCCAGGAGGTAGAGGTTGCAGTGAGGTAAGATCGAACCACTGCATTCCAACCAGGTGACACATTGAGTCCCAGTATCAAGGAAAAAACAAAAGACGTAAAGTGATATTAAAAAATAACTTGGCTGGGCACGGTGGCTCATGCCTGTAATCCTAACACCTTGGGAGGCCAAGGCAGGTGGATTACTTGAGCCCAGGAGCTCAAGACCAGCCTGGGAAACATGGTGAAACCCCGTCTCTACTAAAAATACAAAAATTAGCCTGACTGCAATGACGCATGCCTATAGTCCCAGAAACTGAGAAGGCTAAGGTGGGAGGATTGCTTGAGCCCCAGAAGCAGAGGTTGCAGTGAGTTGAGATGGTGCCATAGCACTCCAGCCTAGGCAACAGAGCCAGATACTGTCTTTAACAAAGAAATTTTAAAAAATATTAAGTCAAAGGTATTACACTGGAATTGGCTGCATGTCTTCAAGTAGAGAAAGCAATCAATACTCCACTGATTTTAAAGAGCATTCTATTTTGTGCTTTTAGACTTTTTTTTTGAGATTGGTTCGGCTCACTGCAATCTCCACCTCCCAGGCTCAAGCCATCCTCCCACCTCAGCCTCCTAAGTGGCTGGAATTTTAGGTGTGTGCCACCACGCCCCACCCATTTTTTGTAATTTTAGGAGAGGCGAGTTTCACTATGTCACCCAGGCTGGTCTTGAACTCCTAGACTCAAGCAATCTGCCCACCTCAGCCTCCCAAAGTGCTGGAATTATAGGCATAAGTCGCTGTGCCCAGCCTAATTTGTGTAGTCTTTTTGTTAAAACTTTAGGTTTTTTAAAATTTAATTTAATTTTTTAAAATTTAATTTTACTATTATCTTTTATTTTTGTAGAGACAGGATCTCACTATATTGCCCAGGCTGTCCTTGAACTCCTGGGCCCAAGCAACCCTCCTGCCTCAGGCTCCTGGAATTACAGGCATGAGCTACCTCACCCAGCCTTAAGCTTTTATATTGAGCTTTTTAATCTATTAAGGATTACATTTAATGTAAGTGTGGCTGTTACATGTTCTCCAAGTTGCTACACAGTTAATCCTAAATCAAACTGATACAAAAAAGTTAATTTATTATATTGAACATCCATTTTGATTCACCACCCTGAATTGCAATTTTATGCCAGTATCTTATTGTTAACTGATGCTTTGGGATATGTTTTAATATTACTCACCTCTTTTGCACCAGATTCTTTGAGCAGTTTTATTATAGGTGAGATGGTATTGCCTCTCACAATTGAATCATCTACAAGAACAATTCTTTTGCCTTTAAAGTTGTCTGACAATACTCCAAATTTTTTTGCAACACCAAGTTGTCTTAACCTCATGTTTGGCTGAATGAAGGTTCTCCCTACATATCGGTTTTTACACAGCACCTCCACATATGGAAGTCCACACTGATAGAGAAGAAATGAAAGGACAATGAGGAGCAATATACAGAATAGGCAAATATTAGTTCTCTAGATTGTGTTGCCACCAGAATATTCAAGTGAAATTTCAAAATAATTTTCCTTTATTATTTGGAGAAAAGGCAAAAAGAAAAACCACTAAACAAAATATACTTGGTGGAAAAACCAATTCATTTTGCGAGGACTCATAATGTTTTTGTCTTAAACATTATTCCTGTTTTGAAAGATAACACTAAGCATATGAAGACATGACAAAGATTAAATCACTGTCAGAAAAATTCATTATTCAAAATGATAATTTTTATTTTTATTTTTTTGAGACGGACTCGCTCTGTCGCCCAGGCTGGAGCGCAGTGGCGCGATCTCATCTCACTGCAAGCTCCGCCTCCCGGGTTCACGCCATTCTCCTGCCTCAGCCTCCGAGTAGCTGGGACTACAGGCGCCCGCCACCACGCCCGGCTAGTTTTTTGTATTTTTAGTAGAGACGGGGTTTCACCGTGTTAGCCAGGATGGTCTCGATCTCCTGACCTCGTGATCCACCCGCCTCGGCCTCCCAAAGCGCTGGGATTACAGGCTTGAGCCACCGTGCCCGGCCCAAAATAATTTTTAAAGAAATGAATTAAATAAATTAAAACCAGTAGACTAATGAGATACTTTTTAGGGATAGGAGGTAATTAACCCATTTATCAAGGTAATCTTTTATAAAATGTATGCATATTAATTATTTTAGAAGCTAATGAAGTATCCAAGGTAGTGAATATTGGATGTTATACCCCAGGATTACTATAGTTACACAATCTACCTGGTTATGAAAATAAAGCATAACACTGACAACATTATGCTAAATGAACATAAACAGCTTTATTATTACCCATACTTAGTAGCAAGCAATTATTCCAGTGACTTGCGAAGATGATTCAAGATGTTTATTTTAATATTAAGTAAATTTTTCCACTGAAGTCAATATACAGTTGATGAACAGCATGGGTTTGAAGTGCATGAGTCTACTTATAGGTGGATTTTCTTCCATCTCTGCCACCCCTGAGACAGCAAGACCAGCCCCTTCTTTTCCTCTTCCCTCCTCAGCCTACTCAACGTGAAGACAACAATGAGGATGAAGACCTTTATGAAGATCCATTTTTACTTAAGGAATAGTAAATATATTTTCTCCTCCTTATGATTTTCTTCAAAGCATTTACTTTTCTCTAGCTTCAGTTATTGCAAGAATACAGCATATAATATATATACAAAATATGTTAATCAACTGTTTATGTTATTGGTCAGGCTTCCAGTCAACAATAGGTTATCAGTTAAGTTTGGGGGCATTAAAATGTATACACAGATTTCACTGTGCAGAGGGCTGGCACCTTTAACCCCCAAATTGTTCAAGGGTCAACTGTATATTCATGATGTTATCTTTTTAAAAAGAGGGGGGCAAATTTCTGAACCCTTTAGTGAACGTTTTTTCTTTTCAGTGAACCTTTTAGTGGTTTTCACTAAAATAGTGCCATTGGGTAAAAAGCCTGGAAAATAAATAACGCTTGTAAACAAACCAACATTAACCACCAAACCTTCCTTTCTCCTTAGAAATGTTGATGAGTTTCTCTTTATAGGCAAGGATTTCTTATTCCACAGCTAGGAGAGCAATTCACTGCATGTTAATTAAGAGAAAATACCTTTCCTGCATAAGCAAGAGCAGCAGGTGTAGCAGATTCTGGAACAGTGCTGACCAAATCTGCATCCACAGGTGCTTCAATCGCAAGCTGCTGGCCACAACGGTATCTTACTGTATAAACCATTTGGTCTGGTGTGTTTGGAAAAGGAGAGAGAGTATTTTACTTAGCATAATATAACAGTGTTATTCTAAAAAACTAGTGCTAGAATTCTACAGATGAGTATAAAAAGAAATGCAATATATACAAAAATATGAATGTGGAAATACACAAACTAGGAAATCAACTGTGTGGTTTTAAAAAAAATTTGACCCTTCATATAGATCTAAAAATCATAATCCTTACTCCTAACAAAAAACAAAATCCAAGAGTCAAAAGGAAGTAAAAAATTGTGATCTTACGACTTGTGGGCTCAGTCCTATATCCACAACATATAACTATGTGCCTTCGAAGAGCCAGGTAAGCCTTTGAGGCAAGAATTGCCATATTTCAAGGAGACAGCTAAAACATTTATATGAATATTCAAAGAAAAGAAATCTACTTACCTTCAAACATACTGTCTGGTCTTGCAAAATAAACATATTCAAAGATACAAAAAGCCATTGGGTTTCCTTCAGACCTTGATATAATATCAAGAGTTCGGACATTATGTCTGGATATTTCCACAATTTCTCCAGGCAAGACTTCACGGTAATATCTTGGGAAACAATGTTAAAGAAAGAAGACTTTTAATAAACTAGTCCTTAAGGCTGATGAAAACATTAATTATAAAGCACATAGAGTACCTTCCCTTAGAGAAACAATTGATTCATTCAATATAAAATCTAGAAGTGGCTTTTTAAAAAGTGGTATGTCTCCTGCAATGATTTCTGTATAATCTCTCTGTAAACTCTAAGTTCTAGTATAGAATTGAAAAATTAAGGGCCCTAAGTTGTATTGAATTTTAAAAGAATAAAGTATAAAGAAAACATTTTCTCCTGGCTTACATTTTTCTATCATAGCTATCTCTCAATGAGGAAGTTCTTCCTTTCTAAAATAAGTCTCTATGTTCATATTGTACTGTAAAAAGAGAAAAATATACAAAATAATTAAAATAAGTTTCATTGTATCTTGAAAGAATGCCAGCGTCAGAATTAGAAGCTATTACTAGAACATTAAACTCAGTGCAACTGCTGAACATAACATGCATAAGAAAATCCCTTTATAAATATTTTCTATTAGATATCAGAAGGAAAACTTTCAAACTTTCACGTAAATAAGAAACTGTGTCTAAAAAAAAATTCTTTTCAACGTGGGGAAAGATAATATGCCAAATAAGGTAAAACTTACCTTGCACCAATAGATAAGAAGCTACAAGATTCTGAAGACACCACCCATCCTTCTGTTTCTGATGTTTTTTTCTCTGTAAATCACAAATCAATTCAGTTAATGGATTCAAGAAATTTTAAGAGGCTATTTCAACAGAACAGCTAACACTAAATAAGTAAGTAAAAAAAATTCATAGAATAGCCATTTCTGTGGCTTTAAGAGCACATGGATCCTCATTTGACTTGAGCCAAAGATAAAATAAATGATCTTCTAAGGTTCCTTCTAACATTACGATTTCATGGCTAGAAAAACATCTTGATAAAAGTCAAAAGAAACCACTAAAATCATACTGCAGAAATGAAAAAGCTAGGCAAAGGACATGAATAGGCAATCAAGACAGGAAAAAATAGGAATCTCCATTAAAAACATTAAAAGGGACTCATCCAGCCAGGTGTGGTGGCTCTCACCTGTAATCCCAGGACTTTGGGAGGCTGAGGTGGGCAGATCACCTGAGGTCAGGAGTTTGACACCAACCTGACCAACACGGAGAAACCCTGTCTCTACTAAAAATACAAAATTAGCTGGGTATGGTGGCGCATGCCTGTCATCCCGGCTACTCAGGAGGCTGAGGTAGGAGAATCACTTGAACCCAGGAGGCAGAGGTAGCAGTGAGCTGAGATCGCCCCATTGCACTCCAACAGCCTGGGCAACAAGAGCGAAACTCTGTCTCAAAAACAAAACAAAACAAACAACAACAAAAAAAAAAACAAACGGGACTCATCCTCAGAAGTACTCAAAGAAACATAGTTCAAAAAGGAAGAATACATTTACCATTATTTCATTACTTAGCTCCCTCCCACTCATCAACTCTCTATACCTAAAGATTTCAGGGCTTGATAGTAGTACGACAATAACTGAAATACATTATGAAATGATATTCCTTCTGAGGTTTATTACCTTTGTCATTTATATCAGACACTGGAATAAGACGACCAATGCATAAGGGACGATTTCCATAAGGATCTCGTACTGCATAAATAACATCTCTGTGCATTATAAGCAGGGAGTATGCTGTGGGTGCTTCCTTCATCAAATTTTTAATCCTGGAATTAAATAATTGAATGAATAACTTCAGTTATAAACATATGCAAGGCAAATCTGTCCTTACTAGAGCTCCAAGTTTAATCCAGTTCTCTGCTTACCTGGCTACCCAGTCTGGGGTGTCATCTTGTTCCTGAGGAGGGGTATACGCCAGTAACTGGGTAATCATTTCACTATCAGAACTTGTGGACAGACCAATACCATGACGCAGAAGCTATACAGAAAAAAGAAGTTGTTTAATCATCAGAGGGGAAGCTCCACCCCACCCCAAACCCAGTAGCCAACCATAATGGAAAGAAATAAGGCATTCTGTGGATGTCCAGCTATGAAAATCCTGTATCCCACTAATGCAGCAGTCCCCAATATTTTTGGCACCAGGGACCAGTTTGGTGGAAGACAATTTTTCCATGGACCAGGGACAGGGGATGGTTTGGGGATGATTCAAGCGAATTACATTTATTGTGCACTTTATTTCTATTATTACTATACTGTAATATATAATGAAATAATTATACAACTCACCATAATCAGTGGGAGCCCTGAGCTTGTTTTCCTGCAACTAGACAGTCCCATCTGGGGGTGATGGGAGACAGTAACAGATCATCAGGCATTATACATTAGCTTCTCCTAAGGAGAGCACAACCTGGATCCCTTGCATGTACAGCTCACAACAGGGTTCATGCTCCTATGAGAATCTAATGCTGCTGATGATCTGGACAGGAGACAGAGCTCAGGTGGTAATAGTGAGCAATGGGGAACACCTATAAATACAGATGAAGCTTCACTTGCCGCTCACCTCCTGCTGTGTGGCCTTGTTCCTAACAAGTCACAGACTGGTACCAGTCCCTGGCACAGGGGTTGGGGACTCCTACATTAATGGTATGTGTATATTAATAACGGATGACCATGGCTGGAGGCAATATAGGAAATCTAGAAGGTTTTCAAGCAGAAAAAAAAAGTGCTTTATGAGATGTATAGAAAAGCTTTTGAATACTAAATTTGAAGGCATGCAGACCTGAAAGTGGGTAGGGGATCTTGGAAATTTGGTTTGTGGGTCTGAACTTTTCTACCCTCAACACTCTTGATGAACTGGGTATATTCCTATAAAAGTAGTACACTACAGTGTTAACTTTCAAGCTGGGTTTGTTAGTGATCATAACGGTGGCTACCCATCCTCACTGATTATTACTGATAGAAGAAAGGAATCAACTGTATTGAACAACGAAATGTAGCAGATGCAATAAATATCGCTTGAGTGTACTCTATGATAATTACAAAGTTCTGAGCAAGACTGACCAGGACAAGGGCAGCCCCATGGACATGCACAGACTGAGTCTGAATGGGCACTACAGAACATTTTCAGTAGGGAGCTAAAAGTAGAGATGAAGTTTAGCATCTGGGTAAGGGGTAATGTCAGGAAACAGTGAGTTAGTGGTTATCTCTAAATGGTGAATTTTTAAGAAATTTTTACTCCATATTTATACATTCATGATTGTCTGAATTTTTAAATGAACTATACATTTTTTCATTTGGGGACAGAAAAGCACAATAAGGTCATTATAATGCCTACAAACAGGGCTGGACAAAGCTCTAGGAAATGTCTAAAGACAGAACTGAAAATAGAATGACAATGAATGGTACAAAAGCCTGGTTTCTAGATATTTTTGACCCGCAATTCATTATTATTCAGCTTCTGTAACTGTTCATCATATGTGAATTGCCCAGCTCTAGAATGCTTACAGGATGATGGAGCATGTGGGTAACCATCTATTACTAAATATCACCAGGTTCTGAGGTTACCAAGTTAAGATTATTGGGAGCTAATAAACTGAAGAAACTCAACATTAATTAATGAATGCCTGAATGGATAAAAGGAAGCTACTAGGAATGAATATAAAGACAGGCAGTTTAAAAAAAAAAAAAAAGATAAAATGATGAATGAAAGCATAGGCACAAATTTGACATCATTAGCACAGAAAGCTCCAAACAACATGCCGTGAACCAAGAGTTTAAACACTCTCTCCCTTTTCCCATACTCTAGTTTTCTGTCATTGTTTCCAATTCATTTTTTTCATGTCATCTCCAAGTTTATACTCCATTTTATTTTTATGATTTTGTGATATATAAGAAGAAATATATATGTTGATTTTTATCCTGGTCTTTCCTGGTACACAGCTCCTAAAACCCTTAGAAATGCCAAAATGATAAGTGTCCTTTGTATGCTGTTGAGATGACCGGTAGCTACGGGTTCCTACATAGCATCAGTATGAGGGCTGGTTGCCAGGGGAATCAACCAGAGGGTTGGAGCTTCTAGCTTCATCCCTGGAACCCCAGGGAAGGGGAGAAAGGCTAAAGGTTGAGCTGATCACCAGTGGCTGATGATTTAATCATTCATGCCTACTTCATGAAGCCTCTATAGAAATTCACAATGACTAGGTTCAGAGAACTTCTGGATAGCTGAACACTTGGAGATGCCTGGAAGGTGGTGCCCCTGGAAAGGGCATGGAAGCTCCATGCTCATTCCCACATACCCTGCCCTTTCCATCTTTTCACCAGACCGCTCTTCTGTAGCCTTTGTAACATCCTTCATAATAAACTGGTAAATGTATACAAAGTACTTTCTTGAGTTTTGTGATGTTTGAAACCAAAGGCAGTGCCAGGGCTGTTGCAGGAACTCCCAATTTATAACTGGTTGTCAGATGTACCAGAGGCCTGGACTTGCAACTAGCATCTGAAGCGGGGGACAATCTTGTGGGATTGAGCCCTTAACTTCTGGAACCTGACTTTACCTCCAGGTACTATCAGAATACAACTGAATTATAGGATACCCATTTCGTATCCTCTGGAAAATTGGCTGGTATAAGAAACCCCCCTATTTGGCCACAGAAGTGTGCTGAGTCTGAGAATAGGAAAAATAGCTTGGTTTTTCTTATTTCATACGAGCTTTGTACATAGCAACAGAGTTAAAGAGATAGCAAGTCTATAAACTCTAATTTCTCTATGCTTCCAACCATAAATCAACTCTCCCAAATCTCTAAAGCAGTGCATTCAAAAAGTGAGTCTAAAATGCATATTCTCACCCTTGTCTCCAACTCTAGGGGACATCTTACAATCTGGAATTGTAACAAGTACTCCAGATCATTCTGTTGCAATTGTTGTTGCAGTTAGGTAACAGGTAGCAACAATTAGAAAATGCCTTTTACAAAGATCCTTAACTTTTATTCATTAACCCAAGCTAATCATTTAAAAAGGCTTAGGGAAAACAAACAAACAAATGTACCTTTTTCCTTAATCGAGCAGCATTTACCAATTCGCCATTATGTGCCACAGCTATCTTCCCATGAAGTGTTTCAACAACAAAGGGCTGACAATTTTCTAATTCACATTTTCCTGTAGTGGCATATCTTGTGTGTCCAATTCCAAGATTTGAAACATATAATTTTTTCAAATTGTCTTCAGTAAAGACGTGATTTACAAGACCCATTCCCTTGAGAAATCAAAAAGTGCAACTTAGAAAAAAACAGACTAGTACTGCTAGTAATAAACGTCTCTCTTCTCTGCTCAGCCAATCCAAATAAGACAAAGAAGTACATTTAATTTCTCTGTGTTTCAGAATTCTAATCTTAAAAAAAGGCCAAAAACAAATAACCTAACTGTAAGAACTGTGAAGCACTTACTTAAAAAAAAAAAAATTTATTGAGGCAAAAGTCACATAACATAAAATTAACCATTCTACAGAGAAAAATTTAGTGGCATTTAATACCTTCACAATGTTGAAGCACTTGTGTTTCATAAGATACTATTCACTAAAACATTTAAGAACAGATGTACTAAGCAATAAAATTTGTCAAGCATAAAAACTAAGATTTGCATTAAACAAATCAAAGCATCTTAAAGCATTTAAATAAATGACTCCCTATTTGAGTTGGTCTTAGGCAAAAAATTGTCACTGGGGAAGAAATACATCCTAATTTGATAAATGTTAGGATATAAAGTTGAAAGTGGCTGATCCAAAGAATATCACTTTTGACTGCAAATTATTTATTCAACCCCCCCCATATTAATGATCACCTGTCTTTTGTTATCTTTGTCATCCCATTTCTTTCACTTTTTTATTTATTTATTTATTTTTTTGAGACGTAGTTTTAGTCTTGTTGCCCAGGCTGGAGTGCAATGGTGTGACATTGGCTCACCGCAATCTCCACCTCCCAGGTTCAAATAATTCTCCTACCTCAGCCTCCCAAGTAGCTGGGATTACAGGCATGCGCCACCACACCTGGCTAATTTTGTATTTTGAGTAGAGACAGGGTTTCTCCATGTTGGTCAGGCTGGTCTCGAACTCCCGACCTCAGGTGATCCTCCTGCCTTGGCCTCCCAAAGTCCTGGGATTACAGGCATGAAGCACTACACCCAGCCTGTCATCAAGATTTCTTAAAGTTCAAATTTACCTTGTGTGATTTGAATGTTGGCACTGAACTCCCATCACTAGTCACAATACCAGCACTCTCCTGACCCCTGTGAATATAAAAAGATATTAGCTGTTAAATCTGCCAATTGATGAGCTTCTTGAAGAACTTTATCAAGCATACTTTCTCAACAAGCATCCATAAACTTAGTGTGACAACACATTAAATGCTACTTGTACTAGTACTACTCCTATTGATGATGCTGATGCTGATGATCAGCAATCACAGCAGATGACAATGTAACAACTAGACATCTAATTCTAACTAACATGTCCTAAGCATTTTATGCTGTAAAAATAAATAATTTAAAACCTACTGGAACCCCAAATATACTTTAGGCCTTGACAGAGATATGACTGTGATCCAAGTCACATATGGTTACGACTTCTGTTTCTCAGACTATAGATTAACTCACTTTCTTATTTTTCTTGTTCTGCACAATGACTAGAGAGAATTAAAAGACATCAGAGATGGCCGGGCGCGGTGGCTCACGCCTGTAATCCCAGCACTTTGGGAGGCCGACATGGGCAGATCACGAGGTCAAGAGTTGGAGACCATCCTGGCCAACATGGTGAAACCCCGTCTCAACTAAAAATACAAAAATTAGCTGGCCACGGTGGCACACGCTTGTAGTCCCAGCTACTGAGGAGGCTGAGGCAGGAAAACGCTTGAATCTCGGAGGCGGAGGTTGCAGTGAACCAAGAAGAAGAAGAAAAAAAAAGACAACAGAGGTGATAACATCCTGCCTTCTCAAGTGATGACCTTTGTTAAAGATTAACTTCTAGACAGAGGCGGGTGGATCACAAGGCCAGGAGATCGAGACCATCCTGGCTAACACGGTGAAATCCCATCTCTATTAAAAATACAAAAAATTAGCCAGGTGTGGTGGCGTGCGCCTATAGTCCCAGCTACTCGGGAGGCTGAGGCAGGAGAATGGTATGAACCCGGGAGGCAGAGCTTGCAGTGAGCCGAGATTGCCCCACTACACCCCAGCCGGGGTGACACAGCAAAAAACCAACAAAAAAAAAAAAAAAAAAAAAAAAAAGGATAACTTCTGCTTTGCTGTCCTGCATAGACCAAATGAAAGAAAACCCATTAACAATTACATCCTCTGTAAAAAATGTTAAAGGTACCCTTCCCCAAAAGAACCACCACCTATAACCAATCAAACTGCAGTAACTGGGCGCTAACCTTGTATAAAAAATGTTGTGATTCTGCTAAAAACTCCTCTGTCTGCCTATGGAAATGAAACCTTAACTTTCCTACTTCGCAATGCTGACTCCATTCCTTGGAGTTGGTGTTTCCAGGTGAGTCATCCTCAAACTTGGCGCTTGAATAAACTCTCTTTAAACTAGATTCTGATCCTTTTAATTATTTAGGTTGATAGCATGAGTGATCTAATTTGGCTTTCACAACAATCCCATGAAGTAGGTACTATGATTACCACGCCCATTTTACAGATAAACACACTAAAGCAATAGAAAGGAAGTTACTTTCCCATTGCCAAACAGACAGCAAGTGGTACAGGCAGGATTCGAATACAGACAACCCAACTGCAGAATTTATGCTTCTAACCTCTACACTTTATAAAAACCTCTAAATAGGGTTTCAACAGGATGAGTATGTAGATATAAATTAAAACCTCCAAATATAATAGAGGCAAAATGTGTAGCTGGTACTGAAACTATAACCATTTTTTGTGCCTTTCTGCATTTTCCAAATGTTCTCCAATAAATAGCACTTTTATTATTAGAAAAAAAAAATGTTGTTTTTGAAAACCCTCTGCTGACCAGGCACCCTTTCCCATGTCTGTGTCTCATTTCCTGCATTAGTGTTTTTAAGTGGTGATACAGAGAAAACAGCCAAAATCTAAAGACATAGTAAAGACTAAGAGCATCCATACCGCTGTGCAGTATAAACTCTCATAAAGGTTCCAACTGCTTTACAATTTTTAATAGTTCTGAACAAGTGCTATAAATAGTAGATGTTTATTGACCAATTTTTGTTCCAGAGAACATATATATCAGGATAGAAACAAAAAGTAAACCTCTTCCATATGTGCCTGTAGACTTTAGTGGCTGTTAATACATTGATTTATTTGGTAAAAAGGAACCTTTTTCAAAATTATATATTGCAATTGTTGCAGCATTTTATTAACGAGAAAAACTATAACATTAAATACGTTGCCAAGTAAAACTCTAAAAAACACTTGGCATGATCACAGCTCAGAGCAGCCTCAAGAACTGATTTTATTAAATGCATTAAATACTGAAAATAGATATGCATAATACTATATACCATATGGGACTAAATAAATTATGACTTATGATTTCTTTTATTTAGTGAAATGCTATGGGGTCTGTAAGTTAACCAATGTTAGAGGACTAGGTGATTCATGTCAGTGGAAATATATTATTAACAATGGTTATAAACCTCTGGGAAAAAACCTCTGCCAACCATTTTCAAAACAATTTTTAAAAATCAACAATCATTTGGTAAAACAGTAAATTATGAAAGAAAAGAAATACACAAAAAACGGTTTTCTTTCCCTTTTGTCTCAAGGGTAGTTCTTCCTTCAAGCTGAAATGAATATGGTTAAAAAATCATTTAGGTCCAGGCTTCTTTAATCACAAAGCCTGCTTATTTGGCAGTTTCTCAAGTTACTCCCTCAGGCAGCTTGAACCAGTTAAACTAGATCCTTTCAGCTCTTCAGAGCTTATTGACAACCAGCCGTCTGGTTTCCTAGGAAACAAAACCTTGGCTAGAAATAGTGAATCATTTCCAGGTCACTTTCAACATGGAGAGTGGAGCAGGAAAGCACTGGACTGAGGAGGAGGTTAAAGCTTTGCTAAGTGTCTGGGCAGAAAAAAATATACGAAAACAACTTTATGGAACACTAAGAAATAAAGGAATATTTATTTACATTGCTAAAAGGCTGCAATCATTAGGAGTATACAGAGACTGGAAACAGTGCCGGGCTAAGTACAAAAATCTCAAATATGAATACAGAACAGTTAAATATGCCCATAACTCTGGAGACAGCTCTAAAACTATGAAGTTTTTCCACGATTTGGATGTAATCCTGCAGTATGAACCTGCCACACAATTTACAGAGGAAGATGCAAATGGCAGGTACCTGGAAACGCTCAGCCCAAGTACAGCCCCAGAGACCACTAAAAGTGAAATTTCAGTCTATATTTATCGGTACTCTTTTGTTTTTGTTTTGTTTTACAGTTTTACAAACTGTAAAAGTTCAAGACTTCTGAGGCCATATGATAAATATAGACTGAAATGTCAAGACTGAGGAAAAATAACCAATTTATTATGCTATTTTGCGCAAGGTTAAGAATTAATTTTTTAAAAAAGAGGTTAAATATTACCACTTTAAAAAAATCTGTAAAATACAGAAAAAGCACATTACAATGGCACCGACTGCTAGTGCCAACTGCATGTGATGTTTCTGAAATATGGATTGGGTTCTAAAAATTGTTTAAGTTTTAATTTTATAAGAGTGGCAAAAAGGGGGAAAAATATCAAAAACATTAACTTATGTTTTTCCACAGCTCCAAACAAGAACTTTCTCCTTTATTTTGTTTCCATTTTCCTAAATTGATAAATAAAAGCACATTTAAAATAACTGTTCAACACTATTTCATTAATTGTTTCGAAGAACAGCTCCATTTTAACAATGAAGTATCACGAAGATGTAATAGATTAAATGATCTGAGACTAAGTGATTTAGAGGAGTTTCTTGACGCACTGTGTTGTTAAACCCAATACTACTTACATAGAATCTGCTCACTGTCTGTGGAAACATTAGTAGGCAAAGGGAGGGAAATCAATGACAGTAATAAGATTTCTACCATAGTCTAAATCTTACAGATGCTATTAAGAGCAGAATTATTCAAAAATCTGTAACACCCACTATCTGTGTGTACCATGGGCAAAGCACTAAGCTATATACATTTAGTAATGTGAAACCTCAAAAAGGACAGAACTGCAAATAAATTTAACACCTGAGAGAAAATAGTAAATAGTATAATAAAAGTACCAAATGTGAATTGGGTTAAGAGGACAAAGATTACAACTGGTTAACTTAAGTTAGCTAATTTTCATGTTTACAGCTCAGTAACAAATCATTTCATTAAAAGAAGAATCCACCCTGCCTACATTCTTTCCATTTCTGAGATGACACCAAATTCTGAGAAAACTTTGCGGTTATTACCATATTAAACAGCAATTACATTATTTTATTCAATTAAACACCTTCGACTCTTCATTATTTAAGTGCTTTAAATATTGATTAATAAATAAGTAAATCACTTAGCTTCTGAAAGTCCCCGATTTTAACCAGGAGTTGGTCTGATGAAGATGTGGCTGCCAATATCTCCACTTCTTAAAGGGATCTTCAGCCCTTTCAGGTATTCCCTTGGCTCCAACCTCCTTCATTTTCACTCATAAACAGAGGGACTATACTTACAACTTAACTATCCACGTTTAGGTACCTCAAACCCCCAATTCCAAAATCAAACTCTCTCTTCTCCCATCAACTTTTTTTTTTTTTTTTTTTAAGAGAGAGGGTTTCATTCCTGTCACCCAAGCTGGAATGCAGTGGCGTGATCTTGGCTCACTGCTCCAGGACTCAAATGATCCTCCCAACTCAGCCTCCTGAATAGCTGAGACTATGGGGCATGACCCACCATGCCTGGCTAATTTTTTGTATTTCTGGTAGAGATGGGTTTCACCATGTTGCCCTGGCTGATTTCAAACTCCTGGGCTCAAGAGATTCTCCTGCTTCGGCCTCCCAAAGTGAGGCATGATCCACCACATCTAGCCCGAATTTGATCCTCCTACAAATTGCTTCCACCTTAGCATCACTATATTTCCAATCACTTATACAGAAACATTTGAGATATCCTTGATTTTTGACCAGTCACTAAGTCTTTAAAAAATCTGCTGACATACTGCATAAAATTTTCTCTCTGCTCTATTCTCATTATGACTAACCAGAACTTCATCGTCTCTCATATAGAATATTAATGTAACCTCTTTACTGGGCTCCCTGGTTTTCAGCCTCTTCCCATATACTTTCCACAATACCACTAGTTGTTTTTTACATTTTTAAATTATAAAATTATAAGTACATTAACATTTTGGTTGCATTAAAAATAATCTTTATACCCAAGATTAATCATGATCTAAAATTAAATATTACAATTAATGGTTCCATAATATTTAACTGAGTGTGGGTCTTCACCCCCCTCAGGCAAATGATACTGCAATTAATAACTTTTGTCCATTTTTAGTATTATTATTTAGGACACAAGTCCTAATACTGATTCAGAAGGATATAATTACTTTGGTTTTTTTGTTGTGTTGTTTTGTGTTTTTCGTGTTGTTGTGTTTGAGATGGAGTCTCACTCTGTCAAAAAGGCTAGAGTGCAGTGGTGCGATCTCAGCTCACCACAACCTCTGCTTCCCAGGTTCAAGCGATTCTCCTGCCTCAGCCTCCCAAGCTGGGATTAGAGGTGCACGCCACCATGCCCAGCTAGTTTTTGTATTCTCAGTAGAGACAGGGTTTCACCATGTTGACTAGGCTGGTCTCGAAGTCCTGTCCTCAAGTGATCTGCCCACCGTGGCCTCCCAAAGTGCTGGCATTACAGGCCTTAGGCATCCCACCTGGCCATTACTTTGAAACATTATTTCTAAAATAACTGCTTTCCAAAATAACTGTACTTCACTAGGCATGAATGTTCCTTATGTAGAACCATTGTCATGCAAAATTATGGAGTATTGATGGGAAGAACAAACTTTCCAAATTTAATAAGTAAATAGTGATTTAGGCCAGGCGTGGTGGCTCATGCCTATAATCCCAGCACTTTGGGAAGTTGAGGAGGGTGGATCACCTGAGGTCAGGAGTTCAAGACCAGCCTGACCAACATGGTGAAACCCTGTCTCTACTAAAAATACAAAAAACTAGCTGGGTGTGGTAGTGGGCACCTGTAATCCCAGCTACTTGGGAGGCTGACACAGGAGAATCGCTTGAACCCAGGAGGCAGAGGTTGTAGTGAGCCGAGATCATGCCTCTGTACTCCAGCCTGGGCGACAAGAGTAAAACTCCATTTCAAAATAAATAAATAAAATAAATAAATAACGATTTAGGCTAATTTAAGAAACAATGGCCTATAATGATATACAAATTGGTAACTTTTAATTTGCATTTGTTTAATTACCAGTAAGGTGGAACACTTTTCTATACATTTATTCACTTTTACAAATTGACCATTCATGTCAACTGAGGTCTTAGAAATTTGCGTGATTTTCTTGCCTTACGATTTATTTGATCTGCAGATTCGATTTATTTGATCTGCAGATTCCAAAACTTTTTAAGGTAATCAAAGTTTTTTCCCTAAGGCTTAAGAAGCCCTCCTCGCACCAGGTTTGATTCATTATATAATGTTTTCTGGTTTTTCCTATGGCCGAACCAGCAGAATTTTTATTGGTGTGTGATAAATGGAAGAAGGGAAGAAAATGGAAGTGCCTTTTCCACTGTTGGGATCAACCTCATGCAAGTGGTAGGGATAGGCTGCTTGTTAGGCAGCAAGTAGCCAGGACCAGAGCCATGGCAAAGGACCCAAATACACTTTTGACCAACTCTACGAGGCTTCATGTTCTGCTACATCTGATCATCCTCAGCCTCAGAATTCCTTTGGCCTACAGCTGCCAAACCACATTCCTTCAGTGGTCAAGTTTTCCTTCTATTTCACTCCTTTTATTTTATATAAATGCATCTCAAGTAATGATTTAAGAGTTTCAGTTTAAAATCCCCAGAGCCTCTGCCTACAGTTTTAGGATTCATGCTGTGGAATGAGGAGCAACTTAGGAAAAAATTATCTGAAGAGGTCAGAGAGAGAGCTTTTCTGTTTCACTATCATTTGTATATTTGGACCAGATTCTTTTCTATGGTGGTAAATCTAGACTCTAAACCAGGTAATAGAATAGAAACCCTGCCTTTCTTTACTGCTCTCATATTCAAGCTCAGGTGTTAAATAACCTGGGCCCTGTTTCTCTAAAGATAATTCTTACATAACTCCAGATTTTTATTTTTCCTATTTTCAAACAAATCTAAAACATTTCTCAACAACATTTTAGCTTAAAGCAATTATAAAACCTGATTTAAATTTTTCAACAATTTTTACCTTGAGAGTTAAACACAACTGTGGCATCTGAAAGCAGTGATGTGCTTTTGTACTTATGTTTATTTTTCATTTGTTTTCCTTTTTTAACACAGAAACCGTAATAGAGTTTTTAAGATGATAAAGAGCATACCTTTTCTTTTTCTTCAACGGGAAAGTCTGTAAACGTAATGGTGAATCATGATTTTAAAAGAATGTTTATGCCACTAAAATCACATCTAACAGTTGATCTATTAATGTAAAATACAACGCTACTTTTGTTACTCAATAAAATAGAACTGGAAAAACATTTGGAAATGAAATGATTAATGAGATGAGTAAATTTTTAATTTAAACATTACAAAGAGCAATCAAACGATACTTATCCACCTCCCGATTAGTCTGCAATTTCATTGTAATTATAATTCATCTTCATGTGTCAATTTGAGTTAAAAATCATATAAGTTGGATTCCTTTCTAAGATGTACTTCATCCTCCTCATTTGATCACTTTAAAAAGTAGCCTATACCTCATTTTATGAAAGCCTATATAAAAGCATCCAAACCATAAAATAAGGAAATCAAAGGAGGACTTCAGTTTTTATGGTTGGCATGGTTCTTTTAAATGACATATTCCTTAATCCATTTAAACATAATTTAGATTAACTTCTGGAAACTTCAGTATGTGTCAATCAATAAATTATATAAGATACTTAAAAACTCTAAGCTATCTGATCATATATGCCAAAAAAACAGCATTTTCTAATTATCTATCTCATTGCAGGACCCACTCTTTTACATTACTGGTATTATTTAGCAAGTGCCTACTCTGTTAGAGCACCCAAGATACAATTATAAATAAAACACCACATTTTAAAAACGTAAGGCTGGGCACGGTGGCTCACGCCTGTAATCCCAGCATTTCGGGAGGCCGAGGATCACCTGAGGTTAGGAGTTCGAGACTAGCCTGGCCAACATGGTGAAACCTCGTCTCTACTAAAAATACAAAAATTAGCCAGGTGTGGTGGCAGATGCCTGTAATCCCAGCTACTCGTAAGGCTGAGGCAGGAGAATTGTGTGAACCCGGGAGGCAGAGGTTACGGTGAGCCAAGATCACACCACTGCACTCCACTCCAGCCTGGGCAACAGAGTGAGACTCTGTCTCCAAAAAAAAAAAAAAAAAAAAGTAATTTAACTTGAAAACTAACTACAACTGTTTCTAAAAACTTACGAAATTACCAAACAATTCTAGCAGAAATTCAAAATAGACCATGTCTATTTTGGATGGAAAAAAATGGATTTTTCTTTAAATACATAAATATTTAAACTATATTATACAACTTTATTACAAAATGTCTATCACAAATCTATTTTGAAGAATATTTTGAAGAATATGATCACATTTAGCTAAAGCTATTAGGATTATCAGTTATGTTATTTCTAAAAGGAATTCTGTTATATTTCCAGGTAAAATGTCAATTGCATCAGAAGATAAGGAAGATGTCTCAGGAAATCCTTTACTTCTGGTTTCTCATGTCAGACCAATGGAACTAGGTATAGTATAATGGGTGGGACAGAATGAAACTGATCTAATTTCAAACTAGAAGATAAGACTGGTTTCTAATCTGAGAAAACTGACAATTTTTCCTGGAAGAAACACTCAGAATTAATTTATGTTTTCCTCCCTTTTTGCCAACCCATACTGAAAAAAATTATTTCTAAAGCAAATGATTTCTTTACCAAATTTAAGTTTCCTAGAAATACAGGTTCTCTAATTTCCAAACTTTACTCTTTAAATGTAAGAAATCTGATGGCTAGACTTACACATAGTAATGCACATGATCCCTTTAGTGGCAAGGGATTAAGACAAACAGAATTTTACGTTTGAAAGTAAACATCAGAGCCACAACCAGGTCAAGGATTCAGTGTAAATCCTTCTTTGCTTCTATTTTTCTTTCTTTTTTTTTTTTTTTTTTGGAGACCGAGTCTCACTCTGCTGCCCAGGCTGGAATGCACTGTCATGATCCCAGCTCACTGCAACCTCTGCCTCTGGTTCAGGCGATTCTCCTACCTCAGCCTCAGTTTGGATTACAGGCGCGTACCACCACGCCCAGCTAATTTTGTATATTTAGTAGAGGTTTCACCATGTTAGCCAGGCTGATCTAGAATTCCCAACCTTTGGTGATCCACTCGCCTAGATCTCCCAAAGTGCTGGGATTACAGGCATGAGCCACCACACCCGGCCGCTTCTAATTTCTTATTGAAGCTAGAAGCAAAAACCTTACTTCTAACTTAAATAATAGAAAAACCTATTTGTAACCCAAATAAGAAAAAAAATTCTGAAAAGCATTTCAAAGCAAAGACATTAAATATACCACAAAATATCTCAAATAAATGCTATAAAGTTTTTTTCAATGACTTAAAACTCGTGAATCTGATAAAAGTTGTTAATTGTAATATCATTTGTATGATAGGGGCCAAAACCTAATCTCAATTAAATATTACTGAACCATTAATTTAATATTTAATTTTAAATTATGGCCAGGCACAGTGATTCACACCTGTAACCTCAGTACTTTGGAAGGCCAAGGTGGGGGATCACTTGAGACCAGGAATTCAAGACTAACCTGGGCAACAGAGAGAGACCCCCCCCATGCCTAATAAATTATTAAAAATAGGCCAGGTGCAGTCAGTGGTTCATGCCTGTAGTCCCAGCTACTTGTGAGGCTGAGGCAGGAGGGCTCACTTGAATCCAGGAGTTCAAGGCTGCAGTGAGTCATGACTGTGTTACTGCACTCGAGCCTGTGCAGCAGAGTCTAGGGAAAAAAAAATGAAAGAAACAAAATAAACTATGATTAATCTTGGGTATAATTTGAAGATATTTATTTATTTATTTATTTATTTATTTATTTATTTATTTATTTATGTTGAGACAGAGTCTCGCTCTGTTGCCAGGCTAGAGTGCAACGGTGAGATCTCGGCTCACTGCTATCTCCGCCTCCCAGGTCCAACCGATTCTCCTGCCTCAGCCCCACAGGCACGCACCACCACACCCAGCTAGTTTTTGTATTTTCAGTAAAGACAGGGTTTCACCACGTTGGCCAGGATGGTCTTGACCTCCTGACCTCGTGATCCACCTGCCTTGGCTGCCCAAAGTGCTGGGATTACAGGTGTGAGACACCGCGCCTGGCTGAAGATTATTTTCAATGCAAACAAAATGTTAATGTCATACACGGTAGCTTGTGCCTGTGATCCCAGCTACCCTGGAGGCTCGCTTGAGCCTGGGAGGTTCAGACTGCAATGAGCGGTGATCTCTCCACTACGCTCTAGCCTTGGTGAAAGAAAATTGCTTTCTTTTTAAAAAATTTTATTTTATTTTATCTTATTTTGAGACGGTGTCTCACTCTTTCGCCCAGGCTGGAGTGCAGTGGTGTATTCTCAGCCTATTGCAACCTCCACCTCCTGGACTCAAGCAATCCTCCCACCTCAGCCTCCCAAGCACCTGGTACCACGGGCACATGCCACCAAGCCTGGCTAATTTTTGCATTTTTTTTGTAGAGACGGGTTTTGCCCTGTTGCCCAGGCAGGTCCCCAACTCCTGAGCTCAGGCAATCCACCTGCCTTGGTAACCCAAAGTGCTGGGATTACAGGCCTGAGCCACCATGCCCAGCCAAAAATTACTTTCTTTAATAATATTACATCCAATTTGAAACCCTGTCTCAAATTGAAAAAAAAAAAAACCCACAAAAACCAAAGTTAATGTGCTTGTAATTTTCTAATTCAAAAAATGAACCTACTTCTTTTATGAAAATGAAATCTGAGAAAAGCACAAGATAATATGGTGTCAAAATAACCAATATAAAGTCAGGTACTGTCAGTAATGTAAATGAAGTATAAAACTGTTCTAGAGACCTAATACGCACCATGGCATATTAAAGGATTTATAACTAAGTGGAGACATACTGCCTAGGAACAAGGCATTATGAAATTTCTGACACACTTCCCTACCGTTGAAAGAAAATGCTTCATTTAAAATGGCTTTAGTCTTTCTGTAATTTTCACAAGGCATAAACACTGATTTTTCCGTGTGACTCTTCCAAGCCCTCAGCTCATGAGTAGCCTCAGTTCTCAACTCTGACTACACATTAGATCACAATCTGGGGATGAAGGATGAGGCAGGTACCAGAGTGGTGGTTTTTAAATGCTTCCCAGTAGACTGATACATAGCCAAAGAAAATCACAAGATAAAGGAAGGAGTTAAATTCTTTATACCTATCCTATTTCAAAACAAATTATCTACAATGAGTCATTTTCTTATATAATTACTGTTTTCTACAGTAAATGCTACACATTTAAATATTGAACTTCCACTATATACTGATATACACCCTACATACTAAAGGAGTGATATGGAAGAGAAAAAAATGATATAGAGGAAAGATGATCAAAATGTGACTAAAAAGCCACAACTTTATTAAAGCCAGTAACTGGCATAATAATGGACAGCTTTAGGTTCTGAATTTGTTTCCCCACTGTTTAAGAGAAAAGCTAAGCTATGATTTGTTACTCCATCTCCTATGGAGGAAACTGCTTTCTTTAATAATGTTGCATCCAATTATTTACCTTGTCTGATGTATATAATGCATATGTCTTTTACCTCTCTACCTAATGCAGGTATCTCTACGTCAGTATTGGAACCCTCTAATAATACAACTTTTATCCCAACTGTAGCAAATGAAGGAGGAAAGCACTGGACTGTGACAGAAGTCAGGGCTCTAATAGACATCTGGTCTGATAAAAGCATACAACGACAACTAGAGGGAACAGTGAGAAATAAGAGGATATTTGAACAAATTGCGGCCAAGCTTCAGAAATTTGGAATAGAGAGAGACTGGAAACAGTGCAGAACAAAGTACAAAAACCTAAAACATGAATACAAGATCGTAAGAACAGCTCAAGATCTAGGCATGACTAAGAGTATGAAATTTTTTACTGAGTTGGATGCTATTCTGGGACCCAATAAAACAGAAAAATCACAAGACCAGGGGTCCCAAGATGGAGAACATGTCACAGAATGTGCCAACGTAAAAATGGGAGAGGACCAGACAGGTAGGAAGGTGAAGAAAAATAATCTTCACATCATGTTACATCATACAGGTTCAAGGATCCCTTTTCCAAAATGCCTGGGATCAGAAGTGTTTTAGATTTAGACATTTTTTTCAGATTTTAGAGTATTTGGATATACATCTTAGAAAGGGGAGCCAAGTCCAAACATGAAATTCGCATGTGTTTCATACATACAGCTTAAAGCTAATTTTATGCAGTATTTTTAATAATTTTGTGCATGAAACAAAGTTTTGACTGTACCCATCACATGAGGTCAGCTGTATAATTTTCCACAGGTAGCATCATGTTGGTGCTCAAAAAGTTTCAGATTTTGTAGTTTTTCAGATTTCATATGAGGGATGCTCAACCTGTATTGCAAATGTTCAGTACCATAAGAGGGATGTTATATACGTAAGTTAAATAGGTTTCATTACATGCTATTTGACAAACTAGCTGAATTTATTATGAAACAGATTTAGTATACATTTGATCTTCCCCAGAATAGAAACAGTACAGTTATACAAAAAGGAGGAAATAAAACTGGATTCCCAGAATAAAATTTAAAATAGATCAATTTTAATAAAGCAAATATGCAACCCCAGACGGCAGAAGTTAAAGTAAATTTTCATACTAATTGTGGTAAAACTGAGTAGAATAGAAAAACGGCATTGAAGAACTTAGAAAAATATAAAATACATGAGACTTTCTTAGAAGTAGTACATTTCTCTGGGACCCATCATAAATGTCTTTAAAGTATATTTAAACCAAAGGATTGAGATGCAGTACGTACACACAAAGACATGATAGCATGAAATAAACTGAACGAGTTCTAGACCAGGATTCAGGAAGTCAAACTTCTAAGGCTCTGTGGAACCTTGAAGTAACCAAGTGTCTCCTCTAGACCAGGGGTCCCCAACACCTGGACCCTTACTGGTCCGTGGCCTGTTACGAACTGGGTTGCACAGCAGGAGATGAGTGGTGGGTGAGTCAAGTTTCTTCTGTATTTACAGACACTCCCCATCATGCACATTACGACCTGAGCTCCACCTCCTGTCAGATCAATGGCAACATTAGACTCTCACATTAGATTAGAATACTGGTGCAAGAAGACTGTTGTGAACTGTGCAGGCAAGGGATCTAGGTTGTGTGCTCCTCATGAGAATCTAATGCCTGATGATCTGTCACTGTCTCCCATCACTCCCAGACGGGACCATCTAGTTGCAGGAAAACAAGCTCAGGGCTCCCACTGATTCTAGATTATGGTGAGTTGTTTAATTATTTCATTATATATTACAGTGTAATAATAATAGAGTGCACAATAAATGTAACGCACTTGAATCATCCCAAAACCACGGCCCCCTTACCCCCAGTCCATGGAAAAATTGTCTCCCATGAAACCAGTCCCTGGTGCCAAAAGGTTGGAGACTGCTGCTCTAGACCTAACTCCA